GCTCCTGCTGAGACCAGCAGACAGGTAGAGTTAGGTCTGCTTCTTCGTTTCTGCTTCTCACGCCTTCCATCCCCGTGGTCTCTCCTCCTCCCCAGTATTGCTAAATTTTCTGATGCATCCCTTTCAAGATGACTAGAGAGTAGTATTCTTTTGGGATGTCTACTGGGTTTCCAGGGAAAACTCATACATCCTTGCCCAACACATACTGAAAGTACGGAACCCACCTGCCTGCCCCATGCCCTGTCTCTAGATTCCATCCCCACAGGGCTGGCTCCAGCCACTGACCTTAGTAATTCTCCAAGTAAGAAACAATCCCCTTTCTTAACATCTCATATGATTCTAAACTCCAGACCTGGACCTGGGACTCCTCAGTGAAGATTTTTTTTTTTTTAGTTTTGCTTGTTTTTTCAAGGCAGGGTTTTTCTTTGTGGTCCTGGATGTCCTGGAACTTGCTCTGTAGACCACACTGACCTCAAATTCACAGAGATCAGCCTGTCTCTGCCTCCTGGGGCTTGGGATTAAAGATTTATGCCACCCCCACCCCCTGGCCTGCAGATCATCCCAGAACAAGAGGAAATGGCTGTGGCTGGGATTAGCTGGCACTCTGGGCACGTGCGTCCTAGAGAATGCCAGCTCAATCCAGCATCATCAGTGTAGGTGTATAAAAACACAGTTCAGGTGGGGTTCATAGAGTTGAATGAGCTGGTAAAATTCCAAGTCTGGTGCTAATTCAGGACTTTTTGTAAGTCTCCCATCCCTCGAGATTCCAGAGACACACTGATTCAGTTTCCCAAGCAGCAAACAAGTCTCTTGGGGGTTGCAAGTTTCTCCCCACAACATGGGAGAAGACTAATGTTTCTTTCTTTAAATGGCATAACAAGGACTTTACAAAGTCCCCCTAGCTTGAACCTTGTATTACGAAATTAAAAAGAGTTAGCGACTCCTGTGTCTATCCTAGTCAAATTGAGCAGAAAATTGAGTAATTACTTGTTTGCTTAAATTGCACAAACAATTATCTTAACAGTCCACTTTGTTTTGCTTTTGCGGATCCAATTCCTGTCTGGCTTCGGTAGTATGTCCGTTTAGGAATCTGATTTGGTGTGGCAGTGTTGAATGGCCAGTAGTGAGGGACGAGACATAGGTAGAACTTTTTGGCAGGGACAGTAAGTGGGAGGAGGAATTTTAGGCTCAGGGAGGAAAAAAAGGAGATGCGGGGACCAGCCAGCCAGACAAGGAAGCAGGGAAGTAGGACATGCAGGACAGAACGAAAGAAAGGTAAGAAAGCCCCAAGGCAAAATGTTGATGAGAAGAAACAGGTTAAATTAAGTAAAAGGTGTCAATGGGACAAGCCTGTGCTAAGGCCACACCTTCATAATTAGTAATAAGTCTCTGTGCCTTTATTTGGGAAGCTGGTTGACAGCACAAAGAAAATTCCAGTGGTAGTTCTCCACTGAAGTGGTGGATTCCCTGGACCTCGTGCAGCTATAGTCCCAGTCTCTTGGCTTCTCTTCTGCTGCAGACTCTGAATCATCTATTTCTCTTAGAGACCCATTGGTGTCTACTTTGACGCCACCTGTCTCCAGACCCCCGGCCCCCAGAAGTCACTTAACATTCATTTATTGTTGTACTTAGTGCAATTTAGAAGAAATTTATTTCCTACCCTACCTCCAAATGAATAGGAAGTGGGCTTCTTTGGTTTCTTCACAATAGGAACCTTTTCTGTCTTTCTTTTTTTTTTTTTCTTGAATGGGCTAAAGAGATGTCCCATATCCAATGAATTTCTCCTCTATAACTGTAACACTGGAGTTATAGTTTCCAATGTTCTGAAAACTCAAGCTCACCAATGCCAATACTCTTTTATTAATGGTGTATTCTTTGCAGTAAAGTTAATTTATGTAATGAATGCTCCTTATTAACACATGCTAGATTGTGTGTGGTCTTAGTTTTACTCGACATATAATACTTATACATATTTTTGGGATAAAATGTGGTAACTTGATAAATGCTTACATTTTGTGATAATCAAATTACGGTAAATTAACATTTCCAACTTGTTAAAAATTATGACTTCTTTGTGTGTGGTCTTTGACTGCTCAAAAAATTGTAAACAGGGAAACAAAATGAAGGAAGCCATTTCTCAATTTTGACAAGCAAACACATTTTTCTTAAATTCATGGGTCAATATAGATTTTCTTTCTATTTTTATTTTCGTCTCTTTCTACTTGTTGATCTGTCTGTCTGTCTTTATCTGTTTCTCTTTTTGTAATTACTAAATATAAATTTATTCATTTTCTGAGTTTTTCTCTGGAAAATGTCATTTATAGATCATCTTCTCTGCTGCTTTATGAGCCTTTAGCATCTGATAAGCATGGTACTTTGACGACTAGACATTTTTGGTGTATATATACACATGTATATGTATACATATATATGTACATACATCTTCATATCTCTTTTAGTTGTCTCTCATACACTACATCCCAACTTCAATTTCCCCGTCCTCCATTCCTCCCAATTTCTCCACCCTCCCCTCCTCCCCGCATCCAGTGCCCCTCCATTTCCCAGAGATGTGAACCCATGGCAGCTGAATAAGCAGCATCAAGACTAGGATAAACCTTTATATCAAGGCTAAACGAGGCTGCCAAGCTGGAGAAAGGGTCTCAAGAACTGGCAAAAGAGTCAGAGAGACTCCCTCACTCCCACTGTTAGGGGTCCCACAAAAACCCCCGAGCTAAACAATCACAGTGTGTCTGCAAAGATCCTGTGGACGGCCCATGCAGGCTCCTGGGTTGCTGAATCTTAGTCTCCGTGAATACCCAGTATTTCCTTTCTCTTTTGTTTTGTTTTTCAGATTAATTGTATGTTTAGGTGATTTACATGCTAAATAACATCCTTGCTCATTTTTTGTAAGTTTTCAGCAGGATATGTGATATGCATAAATTTTAATGCATGGTAAACCAGAGGTGTTTCCATCTCAGTCTGTATGTGAACACATCACTCAAACACCATGAAGTTGTTTTTCTGTATTCCCTAGTTTTGAACCAGGTGCTACAAGTTATTTTTCTCAGCTAACTTTTTTCTTTTTAAATTTAGTTTTAATTTAGAACCTTACAGCTTTCCCTTCTCAGTTGTCCCAGCCTCAAATTTATGACCTCTTTTTCTTTAATATTTATTGGCACATATACAAGCTAAGGTTTTTTTGGTGTTTACTTGTTTGTTTGTTTGTTGTTTCTCGAGACAGGGTTTCTCTGTGTAACAGCCGTAGCTGTTTTAGAACTAGCTCTGTAGACCAGGCTGGCCTAGAACTCACAGAGATCCTCCTGCCTCTTCCTCCTGAGTGCTGGGATTAAAGGCGTGTGCCACCACCTGCCATTTTCTAATCTATCAAGTGTTCACTTTCTTAGGGTCTCTAGGAGCTGGTAGGAGATAGTAGGTCTAAAATAAATGTTTGAGTGAGCCAGTTGGTAGACTTGGGCTGTATCATGTGGTTAAAGGAGACCTGCTTCCTCCTCAGAGGCCTCTGGATGCTGGTAGATGTCTACACCTGAGGCTGGGGCTCCTTTGTTCGGTGGCAGTGTAGGAAGCTGGCATTTGGCTGAGGGGGAGGAGTGTTGTCAGGAAGGAGAGCAAGACTGTTGAGAGGAAATACTAAGTGAAGGAGTGCAGGGAACAGAAACTGCATAGTTTATAAGATGTGCTGAGTGGAAAGAGTCCACGGGAGGGGTGGGTGGACATGACTAGTGACACAGCTTGGGCGGAGATGGGTCTACTATTGGATGGCTTCTTACTCTTCATCTACTCTCCGCCTCTGAAGGCGGGGTTTAAATGAGTCCACCAGACTCAAGGTAAGTGATAAATAGGTATTTATTAGGGAAGTGCACACACAGATAAGAATAAATAACCTATGCAGTCTTCCTGCTCTAGAAGATGCGGTCTCTGCCCTTCCCATGCTCCCTGCAACCCAAGAGAGGGCTAGCCAGCCCCTCCTCTACCTTATAATGAGTCACATCAGCACCTGAAACCACGCCCAAAGGGTGTGGCCACTACCACAAGCTCACTGGCAAGACAAGGTGCTACCACATTCCATGGTCAGCCAAAGGGGAAAATATTGTATGCTAGGCAATTTATTAGACATTTTGTATCCATTGTTTTATTTAATCAGCCATAAAAACAAGTCCGATGGATAGAAATGCCCAATAAAATTTTATAGAATCTTGAGTATGTGGGTATATAAAACGCTTTATAATATATTATTTACCCCCTAAATGACACATTTGAAGATATGTGGGTTTTGTCAATTCATAGTCATTTACTGCTTCTTCCTACTTTCCCTAAATTTTACCGTAGATAATTCTAGCCATCTTCAGGGCACGGCATACCCACACTGCAGACAACCATCACAACTCTCTGCGTCCATTAATCTTTTCAACTTGCAAAACAGAGATGCTATATCCATGAAACAAAACTTCCCTCCCATACCTCAGTCACACTTTTACAACATTTAAACTTCACGTAGCCTCAACACTCCAGTCACAGTAAGAAGGGAATGCCCTTGGATAGCAAGCGGGTGGGTCTTTAATCTTTAGGCCTTTTCCAAATACTTCGAGACTATCCACTCACATAATCATTCAGCTAGCATGTGCTTTGCACGTGGGAGAGACATATTTGTGGAATGAATTTCGGTTACCACTCAAATATTTCCCAGTACCTCTTGTCATTCTGGGTGGAATGTTACGAGAGTTCCCTTGGGCAAAAAAAAATCTGACACTAGGTTTAAAACAGGGACGTTATTTCTAAATGATCAAGAACATAGGAAGTGACTCAACTTAAGATCTTCCTTTCCCTGGGAACTGGTGTCCAGCTCCAAAAAAGACTCAGGAAGTGAAGACTCAGGAGGGCAGCTTAGGACTCGCTCACCCCAGAACGGGCGGGCAAGGGGCGGGGCCTCGAGTGGGCGGCGCCAAAGGGCGTGGCCTTACAGCGACAGGGCGTGGCCGGCCGGCCGGGGCGGGGCGCGCGCCGGCAGCGGGAGCGATGGCGGCGGATGGGGACTGGCAGGATTTCTATGAGTTCCAGGAGCCGGCCCGGAGCGTCCAGGACCAGGAGAACTGTAACGCGAGCCCCGAGGCCGGAGCTGGGGCGCCCGCGGGCGGCGACAGCTTCCCGACCTTGGCCTGCAGCCTGGAGGAGAAGCTGAGCCTGTGCTTCCGCCCCTCGAAGGACGCCGAGCCCCCGCGGGCGACCGTGCGGCCCATCACGGAGCGCAGCCTCTTGCAAGGGGACGAGTGAGTGCGGGCCCAGGAGCGAGCGGGCGGGCGGGAGCGGTCTCACCTCGCCCTGCCCCCGTGGCCCCGGGAGCCCCAGCAGGCCCCGCCCCCCGCCCTCCTTCCTCCTGGGCGGCTCCCGGCCCCGCCCCCGCCCCGGGCTGCGGCCTGGCCCGCTGCCCCTGCCTTCCCTTGAACCCTCCCTGCAGACCCCTGTGTGTGTCCTTGTGGGAGACCCTGCCCCCTGGGGCATGTGTGGGCCATTCGTTCATTCAACTCGCTTCCGTTAAAGCCCCTACCAAGGGCTTGGCACCGCCGCTGGAAGCGTGCATTGCTCCTTTCAGATGCGACACCCAGTGGGATGGGACGTGGGTTTGTTGAACCCATGTTTCATGGGTGTCATGAGTGCTTTGTTAGAGATTTGTACCGGATGTGGATGACTTATTTCAAAGGGGATGTCCGAATGAAGACTTCACAGAGAAAGCAACCCGCAAAATGAACCCTGGTGGAGATAGGTGTCCAGGTGCAGGGGTGTGAGATGCCCTGGAAGTCACACAGGTCTGTTGGGACCACGAGAGCAAACTGCCACAGAGGCGAAAAGTGTCTTAAGAGCGGCAGTTGCTAATGACTAGGACCCCACTGTGTATCGGGAAGATTAGTGCACGGACGGCCTGCAATGGCTAGGGAGTCTCTTCCACGATTAGTTTCAGCGAGAGCGTTCACAGGGGTTGATGGGAGCACTTTATTAACACCCCGGACCCCGGCTATCGTTTGGCAAAGTGAGAGTTGTGATCCTGTGCCGTGGTTTTACCCCCTGTAAGACAGCTGAAGAGTGGTGAGAGCCAGAGAGCTAGAGCGTTTTGTTTGTAGAAAGACAAGGCCCTAGAGAGGCCATACAGGCACCGAGGACTCCGAGAAGGTGACGGCTGGGACCCGTTTCCAGACACTGGAGAGGTGGAGGGACTAGAGGCTAGTGGGAGGGAAACTAAAAATAAACATTTTCATTACATTTTGTTAATTTTGTGAGTCCTTGTGTGAGTGGGGGTGGGGGTAGCAAGCGTGTCCAGTGCTGTGGAGCATCCTTGGAAGTTAAACGACCATGTGAGTCCTCAGTGTCACTGTTCTGGGCGGCAGCCACCTTTATGGGCCAAGCCTTGTGAGGACTTCTTGAATGATGGTAGGATTCATGTTATGAAAAACGGTTTTAATTCCTCAAGAATTGGGAGTTTTGTCAAGAAAGCAGAGAGGGGAGGGGCGGGACATATGTAAACATGGAAGAGCTGCATTCCAACACCATTCCTTTTCATCGTTTCTTTTGCCCAAGGGCAGAGGGGGATACGTTTATGATGGGCTTAAAACACAGAGATGAGCGCATAGCAGAAGGTGAGTTGTGTGGAATTTCCCAGAGAAGATAGCCTCATCTATGTGTAGATTTATCCACTTTAATTATTGAGACAGCTGCATACTCTGGGTTTTAAGGTTATATTCGGGAGTAACTTGAAGCAGGTGAGTGTGACTTGTACTAAGATTCCCAGAGGACCTATTTTTGCTTCAGCTGGACACTCTGGAAAGTTTATTTTAGCCTGTCCTTCAAACTTAGGTGGCTGTAAAGTCTAAACTATTTTGTTGCTTTTCCTGTTTTGCTTCTTGTTACACAGGTTGGCCTTGAACTTGCTATGAAGCTGAGGTTGACCTTGCCCTCCTGATCTTCCTGCTGCCCTCCAAATGCTGGAATTCCCGGCATAAGCCACTAAGCCTTTTGTTACCCTTTCCCCCCAATTTGGACATAGAGTCTCATGTAGCTCAGGCTAGCCTCAAACTCATTTTGTAGAAAAGGTTGACCTTGAACTCTAGATCTTTCTGCCTCTACCTTTTGAGTGCAGAGATTATAGGTATGCACTGACACACCCAGTTTCCTGTGGTGCAGGGGTTGGATTCCGGGCAAGCATTTTAGTATTTGTGTTGCATCTTTAGCCTGGTTGCTCCTGATAATGGTTTCTCGTAGGTGCTGTGTTGGTGAGTGCATGTCTCCAGATTGGGCATCTTTTAAGAGCCAGGGTTCACTCCTTTTGTCTCCTTCCTCTGGTATACTTTTGCTTTATAGGGTCCATTCCAGCTTTCTTCAGCAGTTAGGAAATCCCTTTGTCTGCCTGCCACCATGACCGGATCTTTTGTGTAACTTCCCGAGCTTGGCTGTCGGTGTCTGTCATTATGGATTGTACTCATCTGCTGAGAGCTTCAGGACCTTGGTCCAGGTGCCACTGCACGCAGGACTTTGGCTGGGAGGGAGGCTTCCACCAGCTGTCTATGACAGGTCATAGTAGTTATGATAAAGACAAGGCAGCTCAGATGTCTTGACTGGAGAATTCCGGAACTCTTTTGAGGGAAATTGGCCTTATGTCCTTCTAGCTGCAATTGTACTGACCTTGGGGGAGAGAGAGAGAGAGAGAGAGAGAGAGAGAGAGAGAGAGAGAGAGAGAGAGAGAGAGAGAGAGAGAGAGAGCCTTGTTTATTGTCCTGTTTTCTTGGAAGCTGGAACCCACAGCTGCTCCTTCCAGGAGAGATACTCCACTATCTTTGTCTTACAGCTTCTTGTGAGAAGGATGTGACCGGCAGACAAAACAACTCCTCCAAACCTGGTACTCCTCGCCTTTTAGATTAGTCTGTGTCCTTGGCCAGGGTTAGGTATGTATAGTCAGCTGCTAGGGTTTCAAGGTTGTGGCCCAGGATGGCAAGTATCTCCCGTTACCCTCTGCCAGGAGCTGCCATTGCCACCAGTTCTGGCTTATTGATACTAGAGAACATCAAGGTCCATCTGGGAGGCAGTCTGAGGGAGCCTCTCACAGCGAGATTGGTAGGGAGGTAGACCCCACTTTGTAGGGCTTTTTGGGTTCATGTTTTTCTTGTGGTTGATTTGGGTTTGGAAGCCACACACTCCTTGGGATGTTATACTTCTGGAAGCTTCTATCCTTAAGCATAGAATCCTTTCTTATTACATCAAAGTATGTTGCTTTTTTTTTGGCTTCCGAGACAGGATTTCTCTGTGTAACAGCCCTAGCTGTCCTGGAACTCATTCTGTAGACCAGATCAGACTGGCCTCGAACTCACAGAGTGTACCACCACCTGGCTAAAAGAAGTGTTATTTCCTTGTTGTAGTTGTGTTTTATTTTATTTTTTTAAATTAATCTATTTTTTGCATATGGTGCCCTATCTGTATTTTCACCTGCAGGCCAGAAGAGGGCACCAGATTGCACTATAGATGATTGTGAGCCACCATGTGGGTGCTGGGGATTGAAGTCAGGACCTCTGGAAGAGTAGTCAGTGTTCTTAACCGCTGCGCCATCTTTCCAGCCCACTTTTGCAGTTTTAAACCTGCCTTGTTATATTTTTGCCTTTGCTGGGATTGTATCCTGATTGCTAACCAACTTGGAAAAAAAAAAGGCTTATCTAAATATTTCTTAATTGTATTATTTACAATTAGATACCTTTTACAATTTTAACATAAAAAAAATGTGACATGTTAGTGTAGACTCCCAGGAAGTAGCTCAGATGTGTAGTATCACTTGCCTACTTAACTTTCATCTTATGGATGCCTATGAACTTAGCTACTTAAATTTTATCTTATGGATGCCTATGAACCTAGACTTCCTCCCACCCCCATAAAGCATCAGTTTTGCTATATTGGTTATTATTTTTGCACCAAACCCTGACTTTTGATTCTGAAGTCTACCCTCTTTGTCCATTGTGGTTTGTAATGGTTTTCAATACAATTTGCTTGAGTTAATGCTTAAAATGTTGGAGCTGGAAATGGTGCCTACTTCATGTCTAAGCTTTTGTGTTGTGGCTGGGCCTCTGATACCCAGGTAGGTTAAGGAACTTGGCCAAAGATTGGCCAAGAGAAAATGAATACACATATGGATCTGTTTCCTGAGTCCAAGTTCAATGCCCCTTTGCTTTACCCCACTGCCCTGACCCCAGATGCTGTTTGATAATACGTGGTGATGGCTTTGACTGTATAACCCGTGTGAATTTATGTGACCCTCACTCTTTCCACTTTCATCAGCCCCAGTCCCTGTCCTGTTACAATGCAAATAGATGTTATGCCCAGCTCTCACACTGAGCCTGGATCCTTGCTCCAGAAAGTATAGCATGCCTTTGGAAGGCACAGCGTGTTTGCTTTGTGTGTGTTTCTGGAGATAATGCTGTGATTTTCCGTGTTTCCTGGCTCTTCGCTTGGAAAATGAAGATAATAAAGGTTTCTGCTTCTAATATTGTTTCTGAGGATTAAGTGAATTTGTACACTTTCGTGTGTGTTGTGAGTCTGTATCTCCGTCTGTTTGTTTACACTGCTTGTTTTTTTATGTTTAATGTATGTATGTGTGTGTGTCTATGTGCTGTCACTCTCCTGTGCGTGTGTCCTATAAACTTTGAACAGTATCCTGCGCGCAGTCCGTCCGATTATGTGACTTTCCATGACTCTGGTATTGTTGATGTTGTTCTAAGAAACAATGCACCTTCTATTTAAAAAATTTTTTTTTCCAAAGTTTCTCTTGCCATCTGCATGCGGTTCTTCTTTTTTAATTTGAATTAGAAACAAGCGGCCGGGCGGTCGTGGCACATGCCTTTAATCCTAGCACTCGGGAGGCAGAGGCAGCTGGATCTCTGTCAGTTCGAGGCTGGGCTGGACCGACAGCCTCCAAAACAATACAGGGAAACCCTGTCTCGTAAAAACCAAAAAAAGAAAAAAGAAAAAAGAAAAAAAAAAAAAGAAACAAGCTTGTTGTACCTGTCAATCCCAGTTCCCTCTCCCTCCCCTCCTCCCCTGCCCACCGATCCCCTATTCTGGGGTGAGGGTGCTGCATTTCACTGATTGCTGTCTTCTTCTGTTTGAGGATTTGGAATGCCCTGACAGATAACTATGGGAATGTCATGCCTGTGGACTGGAAGTCGTCCCACACGAGGGCTTTGCATTTGCTGACTCTGAACCTCTCAGAGAAAGGGGTAAGTGAGAGCCTGATCAGAGCGGCTGCAGAGCCAGCGCTGACTGTGGACACGCCTGTGGGACTGTGTTTCCACGCTACTGGCCGACCCATTCTTGCCGTCTCGTTTCCACGGCTGTCTCTTTGCCAGGGCAGTCTTGTGTCCCTCACGTGTTCAGTTTTAGGTGGCTGCTGAATCCTGTCACCAGAGATCTCCATTTCCTTCTGGTTACACAACCGAACTGTGACATGGTGAGATCACTCAGACTCCTGCCCTTTTATTTATTTAATATGTTGGGGGTTCTGGAATATCAGCAGTTATGTAATTTAGTGATGCTGGGCACAATGCAAATTCCTGTGAATACTGGGGAACCACTGAAAGCCATTTCTGTTCTTGACTTTCTGTGTGCATATATGTATATGTACACTCAGGTATGTGCGAGCGTGTGCATATGTGTGCATATGTACATTTGTGTGCCTTTATCTGGTGGTTGGCATCGGGTGTTCACCTCAGTCATTTTCTGCCTTATTTTTTGAGATAAAGTCTCCTATTGAATCTGGAGCTCACTAGTTCAGCGAGGCCCAGGCGTCCTCCAGTCTCCTCCCCCAGCTCTGGGATTACAGGTTACACTCCACCGTGCCTGGGCTTTCATGTGGGTGCTGTGGATCTGAGTTTAGGTCCTCATGCTTGTGTCTCCCCACTTTAGCACCCAGATCCCTCCCATTGCTGATTTTTACTTTCTAACGCGTGTCCGTCCTGATAGTGCCGCATGGAGATGCCTTATGTATCAGTGTGATCACAGCGACACCGTGACTGGGGAGCCAAAAAAGGGAGCGGTTTGAGGTAGACACTCACGGGTTACATTTGTTTAAAGCTGACGGGCAGCACAGCCACATTATTTAGATTTCACATTCACCCTGCTTTAAGTTCTTCAGCAGAGAACAGTGTAAGCTCGCGTCAGATCCCCTGGCACACTCTGTTTCATTAAGTGTGATTGTGCCATCATTGGGCACGGTGCGGCTGTCAGCATGTTAAATAGCATTGTTAATGTTTCATGAAACGATTTTCTTAAATATGTGACGTGGAAAAGCCCGTTGCTTTCAGTTTCTAGTGGAGATGGAATTCTGGCTCTGCCTGCTGGGATTCTCGTAGCTCACCAGCCTCACTGCTTCTCCCTGTCGTTGACCCCTTTAAGCGTTGCAGGCTGACCTAACGCATGCACTAAACAGGACAGGAGCTAGATAGCTTTCATTCCATCTTCTGTTTATTTAGGGCCTAGCTGTTGTTTGGGGCTTTGTCCAAGTCCCCCACCCCCAAGTGTCCTATTACTGTTTTAGCCTTTGCTGATCTCATGGAATTATACAATTTTAGAGTTGGAAGGATCTTTAAAGGACACTTAATCCAGCGTCTCGGATGGGGAGAACCCACCTACAGCATCACTGACAGATGGTTACTTCGCCATGGCCTAAATCTGTGTGGAAACTGGAGAGCCCTGTGGAGACGTGAACTTTTATAGGATTTGTTTTCTGTCCCATGGAGTTTAGCCCTGCTGTCTCATGGGTGATAGTCTCCACAGCCCAGCGTTCATTGTCTTTCAAATCATCACTGTGCTGTCTTGCTAAGCATGTTCCTGAGCCTGTCCTTAAGATTGTGACTTTCTAGTAACTGTCTCTATGCCTGGCACTTAGTGAGGGCTGTGTAGCCTGTTTGTGGAGTAAGTAAATGAGCAGATAACCTTATCATTGAGACTGTAAAGTCAGAAACCATGATGGAAATTTTGCCTTGTTTTAATTTCTTTTCTCTTTTTGTTTGGACTGAAAGGACTCATGGCATATTTCCTTATTGACCTGCTAGAAGAGTAGCATAAATAGTTCCTTTCATAGTTTGCAAAAGAAGCACATTAGCACCATGAGCCAAGCACTCCGATCCAACTAAATAAAATATAAGCCTTGGGTTGTTGTTACTCTGTAGCTCACTCCTCTTGTTGTCCTTTGGATACTGTTTCCAATGCCAGAGTAGCGCTGTGGCCATGCTTGTGACAGGTAAAGATTTGCTGGTTAATACTAGGACCGAACGTGAAAGGCTTCCCCTGGAAAGACCCAGTAGATTCACACTGACAAGTGTAATGAGTCTGTCACTCACGTATCATGCTGTGGCTATTCTTTTGTTGAATAGAATTGGGTTGGAACTCCATTCCCCAGAAAGATCACAGTATGCATGGAGTTCCTGAAGAACAAATGTGCAAGAATTATATCAAAGCAATCATGTTACTCTTTAAGGTGATATATAATTAAGAAAAATTTTAACCTGGGAAAGTGGTATTATTTATCATTGCCATTTCGTGCTATATTCTTTCCATGACTGAGTGAAGTTTAGCTTTTGGAAGTACTCTTTAGATTAGCCTCATTACAAAATGGCATCTATATGGACAATTTTTTATTCTTAAGAATAAGAGAATGATTTGCTTTTTTGTGTTAGCAGCATTCAGGAAAACAACAGTGAGATTTCGTTTTCTTTCATTGACGGTCATGACACACATTTTTGCATTTGTTGGGCCCTTTCTCGAAGCCTGGCATATTCCACATTCTTACATGGGCATATTTTTTCCACCTGCCATGTGTGCAGTATAATGCAGGGAAACCCGGGCATGGGAGGAGGGAGGGGAATACTTGCCTCCAGGAAGGCATGCTATGCTTGTTGGGAGGGTGACGAAGGAGCTCCTTGTCCATCTTGGTTAGCTTTCAAAGGCCTAAGCACTTTCAGCCCTGATGTACCTCATCTCTGTGGGGAGTGGGCCTGGCTCTCTTTCTGGAATGATGATCTGACATCATTATCTCTGTTGTCATGGAAATTTAGTAGTGAGGGTTGATGGCATTCCTAGTGTGCTTGGGTGATGGAATGCTTCTCTGTCATTTTGGCTTGGAGTGTCTCATGAAACTTCCCATTTCTTCTTGTGCAGAGACAGACATTCTCTTCCTCCTCCTCTTCTCCATCTTCACCTCTTAACTGGGTTTGAGTAGCCCAGGTTGGCCTTGAGCTGCTACCTCGCTGAGGACGAACTTGACCTGCTAGTCCTTCTGGCTCTGTCTCCCCAGTCCTGGAGTCATAGGGTACACCGCCATGCCAGGTACGAGGGATGTTTGCTAGTGTATCGTGATGTCTTACAGTAGACCGAGGACAAATATGATAATGTATTCCTGAATAGTGACTTTAAAATCAAAACCTTATTTATAAGCCAGGAAAGAAAAGTAAAACAAAATTCTGATGTTCAAGCTACAAGGAAGGCTGATGGGGCAGGTGAGTTTGCAGTGGGAGGATCCTGATGACACCGTAGGCCATGGGTGTCCTCTTACATACTCTAATGATCAAGTAAGATCATTTATGACCTTACCCAGCTTCCCCCAACCTTGTTTCTGTGCCTTTCCTACCTCAGGTAGTTCTTAGAGAAGTAACTGCCGTCATGTAGTGGCCAGCCCTGTGGACTGAGACGTGAAGGTTGCTCTTGCCCCACATGCTTGCTGGCTGCACCACCTCTGCCGCCTTCAGCGGCTGCTTCTAGCGGACAACCTCCTTGACCAGTTTCATTCCTCGCGGTTGGACTTTGCGCATTGACCTTCCCAGAGGCTGAAGTTGCGCTCTTCCTGTCCTCCATTCTCCAACTCTAACCCCACACCGACTCTCCCTCCTCCTGCTCTCCCAGTGTAACCCTGTCAGATCCCTGGTAAAGTTCACCCTGACGTGTATGTGGCATACTTACTTACAGTCACACGTCAGTCGGCCTCACAGGACCATAAACCTCATTTCAGTAATGTGTTAGCAGGGCTGCAGCTTCTTAGGCTGTGGGTCTGACCCCAGATGGAGCTGTGGAAGGGAATGTGGGAATTGGAAGAAATCTGGCCACAGTAAACAGTTTCTGAATGCATCCCAAATCAATCCAGGATCAAATGTGTGATGAACCCAAGGTCTTTCTGGCAATGTCGGCTCGTTGTACCCATGACTTTACTGCAGCCTTGGCTCTGAACACACAGCATGTGCACTCTGGCTCGCACATGCCACCAAGCACTTACTAATGTCACCTGTAACATCTCAACTCTGATTTGAGACTATTCCAGTAAAACGTGCATCACAGCGTTTCTACTGTGCATCCAAAGCTTCCTGTTCCTACGGAAACATTATTGTTTGATTATAGAAACCAAGGACGTGCCATTTTCCTGTTCTCCCTCGACACCACACCAGTATCCCAGCAGTGTGTCCTCAGATTGTAATGCATTCCACCACACTGGAATCCCAGCAGTGTGTCCTCAGATTGTAATGCATTCCACCACACCGGAATCCTAGCAGTGTGTCCTCAGATTGTAATGCATTCCACCACACCGGTATCCCAGCAGTGTGTCCTCAGATTGTAATGCATTCCACCACACTGGAATCCCAGCAGTGTGTCCTCAGATTGTAATGCATTCCACCACACCGGTATCCCAGCAGTGTGTCCTCAGATTGTAATGCATTCCACCACACCGGTATCCCAGCAGTGTGTCCTCAGATTGTAACGCATTCCACCACACCGGTATCCCAGCAGTGTGTCTTCAGATTGTAATGCATTCGAGTGTGGGACTTCAGTAACTGTTGTTTGAGTTGCTGACGTGAGTTCCGTCAGAACTTGTTCAGTGAATTAGGTTTAGGACCGGGACAGGTTTCCAGTGGTCTCTGGAATGCCCCTAAACATGCTTCTGGCCTTTTACACTGTGTGTTTGACGTTCTTAGCAGTGAGGATTGCAAATCAAAAGCTTGATGGAGTCTGAAAAGCAGTGAAGAGCTTGTGTGTCTTGGGGTATCAAAATTTCAGCTAAGATTTAGTTCATTATGTAAAAATAAACATGTTCATGTACCCTGCTACTATGCAGATTTACTTTCATTACAAATACATGGAAAAAATAACATGTTTACTAAAAGAAGCGTTGTAAAATACATTTCTAAATTTCCTTATGTCATGTTATCAGTAGATGTTTGATTTGTAGACTTACTCTATATAGACCCAGGGCCATGTGAGAGTTTCAGGGTTAAAGGTGGTGGCTGACAGACAGTGTGAGAGACCCCGAGTTTTCAGTGTCTTCTTCTCATATGGGTGCAGTGGCAGTTTTAGTGTGAGTCTGTTGCGTTCTCTCTTACCTTCAGGGACCTTGACTTCCTCTGGCATTGCAAGAATGACCTTTACCTCTGCATTGTCTCAGCACTCGAGTTTGTCTCCTGGCTTCCTCTCCAGCCTCCTGTGGGTGTCTTTCTGAGAATGGGTGCGGGAAAGGTAAATTCTTTGAGTACTGCACATCTAAAAATGTCTTTATTTTTAGCTTCCGCCTAGTTGTTAAATTGGCTGGACATTAGATTCCAGGTTCCAGGATGGATTTTTTTTTTGAACAGGAAAATTGCATTGATTGTTTTCTGGCACCTATTGTTGCTGTTGCAAATTCAAGTGATATATTAATTCCTGACTCTTCCGTCTGCTCTTTTCCTTTTGTCTTTTACACATGGTGTTCTGAAATTTCACGGGTGTATGTGTGTGTGTGTCAGATTCTGCGCTGCCAGACCTTTCCTGGCCCAAGATGCTGTGAGAAACAGAAAGAGGAGGTGCATTGTCTCTGAGGGTCCTCAGGGAATCGCAGTCCATGCGGACAGTGGACCTGTAAACAGCAGGCCTTTCCCAGCCCCCCAAGGGAAGCCAGCATGCCCGTGGCTACTTCCTATGGCTTTTTCATTCATCAGCTTTATTCTGGCTGACGTTCATCTGAAAGCTCCTGTGTGAGGGCCTGGGGAGCTCGGGGGGCCTGCATCCTCTCCATTGTGTCCTGAGGTTTAAATATATCCTATGTACTAGTAGATGAAATCGTTTTTCCAGATAAACCTCCCTTCCCCCAAGCCCTGGGCTTTGAACCCAGGGCTTTAAGCATCCTGTGTCAGCACTCTGCGGTTGAGCTACATCCCTAACCATTCTTGTACTTTTCATTTTGAGACAGGATGTTACTAACTGGCTGTGAACTGACTCAGATCCTCCTGCCTCAGCCTCTCGCTGGCGTTACAAGCCTGTGTTACCATGTCTGCCTAAAACATGTTAATTTAGTTATGCTAACTATATTATATTTATAATGGTTGAATGTTCCATATCCAAAATGCCTGGGATTTAATATTTCCAACTTTGGATTTTTAAAAACTTAGGATATTTGTAGGTACGCGCTGGGATACGGAGGTGGGAGCCAGATATAAACATAAGTATATAGTTTTGTTTCACGTATACCTTATGTACATAGTTTGATGACAGTTTTATGTAATGCTTTTGATGTACCTGCGTTTTGAAAATCGCATTCATATGAGGAACTTTCCCTTGGTGACATCATGTTGCTTCCCAAAAAGCTTCTGATTTGGGACATTTGAATTTTATAGGTTCTTATTTACTTAAAATTACTTACTTGAGGTTACAGTTTGTTGGTGTTCTACCTAATAAGTATATAATAATATATAACCATCTTAATGGTATACTGTGTAGCCCTTGTTGTCCTATTGTTATCACCGTGTGTTAATTCTTCCTGGAGAATAGCATTCTAATTTTACTTCTGTCCACCAGCAGAATAGTCATGTGACAAGAAGTGAATGATTCATAGCCAGCTATCTAGTTAATCATTCCTTGACTCTGTTGAGTTTCCTCAGGTAGTTTTTACAGTTGCTATTGACACAGAACTCTCAGTATTCCTAAAGGGGCTGTTTGTACTGGGTTGGGTAGGCCTGGTAACAGCTACTGGACAATGCAGGACCCCAGGCATAGCAACAGACACTGGACGATGTAGTACCCCAGGCATGACAACAGACACTGGACAATGCAGGACCCCAGGCATGGCAACAGACACTGGACAATGCAGTACCCCAGGCATGACAACAGACACTGGACAATGCGGTACCCCAGGCATGGTAACAGACTCTGGACAATGCGGAACCCCAGGCCTGGCAACAGACACGAGTACATTAGCAGCCCCAAGACAAAATGGAAAAGAGAGAGAGAGAGTGAAGTTTCTAGAATCTGGATAAATGAACTGGGGAGAACTCTGCTTGACAAGAGCCCCATTCTTTGGTACAGAGCCAGAGCTGACAAATGGCATCCTGGCAAAGAGGAAGATAGCAGGATGAGTGCCCAGCCCTCTCCTCCTCACCTGGCAGTCTCCTGTCCACCAGTGATGTGTAACCAAGTGGAAGCCAGAGATCAAGGGCATCCTTAGATCTGGTCATATGGTCAGCCTCCGGGCTACAGAGCACAGTGTAGCGTGGAGCTGAGGTCATTGGAGACTCTCCAGCATAGTTAGGCTTGAAGGTGTTTTAGGAACATAGAAGTATTCTTTCTTTTTTTGGAAGGAGGGATGTTCATTTGGAAGGACTAAATGTCTCATGAATGGGTCCTGTCTCCAAGGATGTTGATTACTTTTATTCTAAGTATTTGGATATTAGAAAGTGCTTTGTAGATAGTGTTGTAGACCTGAAACACTTTCCAGTTCGTTAACTATGTGCTTGTTGCTACCTTCTGCTCATCCCAGCACCTTACAATTTGCTAATAAATACTGTTTTTGTCTTTTATACATGTATCAATTTTTTTGTTTTGTTTTGTTTTTGTTTTGGACCCTGTCCTGGAACTGGCTCTGTAGACCAGCCTGGCCTTGAACTCACAGAGATCCGCCTGCCTCTGCCTCCCGAGTGCTGGGATTAAAGGTGTGTGCCACCAACGCCCGGTCAAGTATCAGTTTTTAATGCTGCTCTTGTAGCTGTTGCTTCTGGAAGAATAGCTCTGTGCCATACCTTGTTGTTTTACAGTTTGTCCTATACTGTACTTACTGCTGCTAGGGGAGTAGGTAACACGCTGTGTGGCCTGGTCTAGGGTGACTAAGGACTCCTTTCCAAGGACTTTCTCTCTTGCATGCTCTTTCCTGTTATTTCTTTGACCCAGGAATGTTGACATTTGCATCATAAGGACTTGCTTTTAAATGGGAGTACTTTCGTTTTTAGATGAATGATGGCTTGCTCTTTGACACCTCAGATGAGGAGGAGCTGAGGGAGCAGTTGGATATGCATTCGATCATCGTCTCCTGTGTCAACGAGGAGCCCCTCTTCACCGCAGACCAGGTATGGAGGGGAAGCAGAGCCTGGAGCTGAGAGCCATTTCTTACTATGGCTGCAGATGATGCCTGTCAGAATGCCAGGGTTTGCCCTCGATTGTACGACTAATGCAGCCTTGACATTCAGTCTTTAGTGGAGAGGGTAAAATACGGTATATGCTGTCCGAGGAATTGGGGAGATTTCCATGCTAGGCTTTGTCTGTGATTGATTACAAGTTACTAATGGAGGATTACAAGGTTACCCTAACACGAGTGAACTGGACTATATTTGAGCTGGTGATTTTATTTTGAGATAAGGTCTCACCATGTAGCACTGGCTGACCTGAAACTATCATGGCCAAGGTAGCCGCAAACTACTTACCTTTACCTCCTGAGTGCTAGAATCAAAGGCTTGAGCTGCTATGCCTGACGTAGTTTTGTAGAACCTCAGGTAAGCATCTTTAACAAATAATAGAAGTGTCTGTTATGCACCGTAGAAAGAAGCAAGCTTTTTACCTGTGTAGCTCCGTGTTATGTCAACCCTGTACTCATTTGAAACTGGTCAAGTCAGCCTTGTCATTTCTGAATATCCCTTCCACCTCTGCCGTGTTGTCAGAGTGTGACGGCAGAACTTCCTGAAATAAAATGTTCCATGGCTCCGTGGGCTGTGAATTCCGTCATGTCTTATTTTTAGGCAGGGACGAGAAGGTTAGTGAGGAGATACGTTACGACAAGGTCAGAGGAGTAAATATACACGCTAATGATGTCCTTCTGATGGTCCCTGCCTCCCTTTGTGGTTGGATGGTTCTAGACTTGGAAAACTGGTGTGAAGGAGACAAGTAATGCTTTCTATGGAGGGCATGAAAATCCAGAAAGAGATGTGACCCTGAGTAGTCCTATCTCCCCGAGTAATGAGTTCTATAGTCTCCTTGAATGTCTCATTTTACTGATCACAATTCCTGTTTGGGAAGGTTTCCTTCCTCTTTAGCATTGTCCTTCTTGGGTTGACTTTTCACCAGTTGAAGAGTTATGTATTAAGTTTGCTGATTTATAGATACTGTTAAATGTACTCATGGTTTTTTTTATCTTTATTGAATTGTATTTAAAATTTTTTTCTCAATACTTAAATGGCCTCCCACCCATTTAAAAATATTTAGTATCTTTCTGCCTTCCTTTAAAGTTTTGACTTCCCTTTTCACTCTTAGAGTCCGGAACCAGACAAAGTACAGTTGCAAGGCTTGAGTCACGCTGTGTTTGACAGTAGGTCAGGGTTTAATTAAAGGCGCGTGTATTCCTGGAATCTTCCTTCTTCTTGCAGCTTTTTTCCCCCATCTGATTCTGTCTTTGGCAATTTAGAAATACACCTTTGTCTTTCACTGAATTAATAAATGAAATTCTTTTGCTGCTAGAGAGCTAACTACCTGCTTTATTCATGGATATTTTTATGAATATTATATTTTATAGGTTTTATGTATAGGTTTTGGTTAAACTAGATTACATTTGCCCTTATTTGCCATCTTTTAACTGTAACTTTATTATGTCTGCATAAATCATGGCTCCATTTTTTAGGCATTTACTAGGGTCTGCTGAATTGTAATGGATATCCCAGATCATATTTTGTTTAGTTTTGTGTTCACATACTGTAAGTAGTTCCTTTTGATGAACTGTGTTTGTGTTTATCTGTGATTCCTGCACATAATAAGGACGTAATGTCCCTTCCTCTTGGGTGTCTGCTGAGTGCTGTTGTGCAGTCGGGCTCTTCTCCATGCATTTCATAACAGCAGGGTGTGTTTTTGAAGGTTATTGAAGAAATCGAAGAAATGATGCAGGAGTCACCAGACCTGGAAGACGATGAGACTCCCACACCGTCCGACCGACTTTCCACGCTCTCCCAGGAGATTCAGACTCTGAAGAGGTCTAGCATGAGCAGCTATGAAGAGAGTAAGAGTCTCCTTCCCTCTGTCAATGTGCTTTCTGTCTGGGTCAACACATGACACTGTCATCTCCAGAGAGCTTTCATCTTCTTGGGTCCTCTGGCTGTATAGTTCTCTGTACATACTTTGGTCATTGTTCAGGACTGTGTTGTGTTTTCTTCAAACCCTGAATTAGTTTGCTGGGGCTTCTAGAAAAATTTGCTGCAGTCTAGATTGCTTCAACAGCCTGAATATGTTTCCTGATTGTTCTGATGGTCTGAGGTTCAAGGTCAAGGGTTGGTTGTTTCTCTTCCCTTGCCTGTGGGTGGCCATCCTTTCCCTGACCTTCCTTCTTTCCATATCTGTGTTCACATTTCATGTTCTAAGAGATGGGTCACACTGGATTGAGGACCAGCCTTGGACCCCATTTTAACTTCATATCTGTAAATACTCCAAATGCTGGTGTGTTCTGCAGTACTGAGGGTTAAGACATCAGCATGTATTTTTGGGAGAGATGGTTTAGCCCATAAAAAGCAAGAGTGTATGCATTTATTGAAAATAGTTCCTATGTTGACAAATAGTTGTCTTTGCTAGAGCTTTGAGGGATTTGGAGAAGTGGAATTTTGCTAGAATTGAATCTGTGTTTGTATATGAGAACACTGAACTATAAATACCGTGTGGTTAGTCGTCACAAAGAGATTCTGAGTATCTGTACCCAGCATGAGAATGCTCTGTGTATCTGTGATTGTCGCCATGCCTGGCTCTCTGCTGGATGACACCCCTCTTGTGATCTGGGTTTGTATTTGTGGCTTGACCAGAGGTCTGAGGCTGGCCTGCTTCAGTCCCTTTGTAGTATGTGACTTCTTTTTAACCTGTGGAAGGTTCTCTGACACACACCATTTTTCCCTCTGAGGTGATGTGGCCACAGCTCTATAGATAGAGCCCTTGGCATTGCTGGGGTCCTGATTCCAAAATCCAGCACTGATGCGTGGTAAGGTACGGGAAGTATGTATTAGTTAGCTAGCACTCCCATAATGCACAGTCCTTCAGACCAGGCAGCTGGGGCAGTGGCATTTTACAGTATCGTAGCTCTATAGGCCAGGTGTAAAAATCCAGCCGCTTGGCTTCTCCCTCGCTGGGTGTTCAGGTGGCCTTCTTTGCCTCCTGTGATATACTTCTTCCTGTAAGGACAGCACTGACATTGGATTAAAGTCCATCTAATGAAGTCATTGTCATTGGATGACCTGTCCAAATCCTACCTTCCCGCTCATCCAGTCTCACGGTGAGTCTCAGGCGTTAGGGCTTCAGCCGTGTCCTTCTGGATCCCCATGGTAGCTGGGGTGACCTCCGTGAACTGTCCGTCCTTTTACCTTCCTGATGTCGGCTAGTTTCAGGAGAGGGGCATATACGATTGAACAAGCGTTCCGTTTAATCCTTTCAGATGGACTCCTCTCCGAACCCTGCCCTGCTGTCCCTGCATGTCAGCAGGGAGTTTCTGGGCCCCCTCCACTTCCGTGTTTGCTCTTTTCCTCATACCAGCTTCAGTACTATATTGGCTATAGTGCTATTCGTGGGACGCTTGGTATATGCATGTAAGAAATTGTTAGTTTTTTTTTTTCATCTCAGCTGAGTGACATCGCCTACTCATCTCTACTTAGATCTACCTTCCAGAACTTCTTAGCCTCTGAGGAGATCCCAAACAGTCAGCGTAACTGCTTAGACTTTGATTTTGTTGTTTGGTCTAAACCACCCCACTACGCTGCCTTGACACGGGCGTGTCTCAGTGTGGGTGCTGCTCTTTGTTTCTGGCCACAGGAGTGAAAAGACTGTCCGTGTCTGAACTGAATGAACTGCTGGAAGAGATCGAGACAGCCATCAAGGAGTACTCGGAGGAGCTGGTGCAGCAGCTGGCCCTGAGGGACGAGCTGGAGTTTGAGAAGGAGGTGGAAAACAGCTTTATCTCTGCTCTGATTGAAGTGCAGAATAGGCAGAAAGAGCACAGAGAGACAGTCAAGAAGAAGAAGAAGCTCAGAAACGGCAGCTCTCAGAACGGGAGGAGTGAGAGGAGCCACATGCCGGGCACAGTAAGTGATGTTTGCGGAGGCGCCCCGTGTGCCTATAGGTCGCCCCAGAACGCCACAGGGACCGTTTGCTAGAACACACGGCTTCTTCCCGAAGGTGTTTCCTAGTGATGCTTGTTGCCGTGCTGGATACCTCAGCACCTGAGGGTGTAGAGGGGACTGCAGTGGGAGGAAGAGCAGGGAGGATGTCTTCAAGCAAGAGGATGGCCGGCGGCCACTCCTTCCTCCACCCGAGAGACAGTGGTAGATTGTTATGTTTGGTCAGCAGGCTAATGAGTGGTTTCATTTTCTTATTGGTGCTTAGCTCTGGGGTTGTAGTAGAAGAAACAAAGAGGGTCCTTTTAGCGGTAGTTGAACTTGTGCTGTGTAAACAGGTTCCTCACTCATCAGAGGGTGTTGGTGGCAGGTGTGACATCAGCCATGTGGCTGTGTATTTAGCAGACCAAAATATCACTGACAGGTAAGAACATATCGGAATATTTGAAACCTTAAGCTTTCATAAAAGGTATTTTTATTTTGTTCTTGGTGTGGTTCTTTTTCCAAAGTGATTTCATTGGTTAAACTTCATCTCAAATGTTATTAATCAGCTCTCTACCATTTTTCTGTGGCCAGTTAGGGTCTTGTATATTCCCACCCTGACTTCATGTGTGAACAGATATTGGTTGTACTTTTAGAGTATAAAGGTTGGATAAAGCGATTCATTTTTCTAAAATGAATATTTTTGTCAATCATGATATAACATAGTAGTATGTGTCACAAATTGGTCCTTACAGCTTAAAGTAATGTTCCATTCTCTCTTTGATTAAGTCTTCGGTTATGTGCCAGGAATGAGGTCTCATTGGCAGATGCTGATGGAATCCCAGGAAGAGAACCCAGTTACAGGGTCACCAATGAGTGGGTAACACCCAGTCTTACCACACAGCCCATTAACCATACTAGGGGTAACTTGTGAATAAATTCACATTGCCTTAGTGTGCTGTCCATTTGCAAAAATTAGAAAGAATAAAACTTATAAATTCACTTTGAAGGATTCAGATGTATTTAGAAATACCGGTATTGATGGAAAAGATGTTATTTCTAGTGAGTAAGCTGAGGGAAAAACATTTGCTTGACTGTTCTGTCCTGGAAAATTTACTTTACAATATCAGAGATAGTATTTTCATTTTGCATGTAGTATTTTAATAGAAATACACCTTTTAAGTTGCTCTATTATGGCAGCGGGATTAAGTGAAATGCTTAGTTGCTAAATCCTAGCATGGGTGGTAATTTCTACAAAACTGCTGTTAGGGATTACATGCAAATCCGCTATTTATTGCTGTTAACACTTGGCTGAGAAAAACAAATTTATCCCTAGAGGGGTTTAAAGGCTTCTTTTCATAATTCCCATATAAATAGGGTTAGTGTGGACCCATTGTGTAATTTTGTATGGTGTTTATATGGAGGAGTGGATTTGGCAAGACAGCATGGGGGTTATAGTTAAACCTTCATTGGTCTTGAAATAGAGTCATACAAGACTCCATTTATTTTTTCATATTTGAACACATGAAGTTGCTTCCTGGTCCAGATATACTATTTGTGTCAAACACTTTAATCAGGATGGCAATGGCATGGCTCAACTCCTGTGTCTTATTTTAGTCTCAAATGCCAGGGAACTGTTCCATCTGTAACACAGCCCGAACCTGGGAATTTTGAAGATAGTTACAGGTGGCTCAGAAGAGCTCCGAGTGAAATGGCCATTTAGGTAGACAGATTGCTAGAGGACTTACCTTCTTAGATACTTGCTTTCTCTTTTGTGTTTCAAGACAGGCTTTCTCTGTGTAGCCTTGACTCTCCTATTGCTCCGTAGACCAGGCTGGCCTTGAACTCAGTTCCACCTGCCTCTGCCTCCCAAGTGCTAGGATTAAAGGCGTGCGCCACTACTGCCTGGCCACAGATACTTTCTTAGCATGCAGTCGTGACATGTAACTCAGTGAGCTGACTGTCATCACCAATACTAATTTAAAAAATGATGACCTCCATACACATGCCATGTGTTGCCTGTTTTTCCAGTGACATCACTGTTTTCTTTCCCACCAATGCTTTAGAGATGATAGGATTTGAGGTTTTCCTTAGATATGGAATGACTTCTTTTGGTTTTCAGCAATGCTCTGGGACACAAGGAGTAATACTATTTCTGTGATTGCCAACTTGCTCTCTTAGGTTCAGATGATGAACTCTGATGAAATACCTGGGTAAGAACAGAGCAGCGTTAAACTCTCCACTGTTGTCTTTTGGCATTCTTTGCTTTGAACATTTGCTCAAGAAAAATGTTTACTTTTGTATTAAACAGTAAAGGAAATAGGTCCCTCATTACCATGTTAGTAATGGTATATAACCATCTGCTTGTTAGACATTCCCCTTGGAAATGGTATAGGACTCTGACATTTATATTATCAAACCATGGTTAGTGCAACTAGTTTACTGACATGGACTCATTGAAACTAATAGAATTTCTAGGTCCAACAATCGGAAGTTTTAAGTGGCCAGATCTTCACATTGTTAACAGTGTAAGAAATACCATTTCCAGTACTCCCCAGAGCAATGGGTATGACTAGCCTTTGAAAATGTACTGATCTGGTAGGCAGGCCCTGGTTTGATCTATTTGTATCCCTTCCTGTGTTTCCTTTAATGTCGTAATTGAGATGGTTTTTGTGTCTATTCACAAGGTTCAAATTCTTTGGCAGTACTGTGTTGTGTTGTAATCTTTGGCTACAATCTCCGTGTCCCAGGGCAGGCGCCTTAAGGGCTCATTTGCAGTTTATGAGTGTCTCACCTCATCTCTAGTGTGTAAAGATTGACTCCTAGGAGATTTGGAGTTTGGATTTGAATTAGTATTATTCCCCCAGGATTTTTTATTTGTGGGGTGGGGAAGGGACCAGACTCCTGTTTATGTCAGACATTTTCACAGATCATTAACTTTTAGAGGTAGTTCCCTTGGGTACAAAAACAAGTTGAAATACACCAGGTTATATTTTAATTCAGGCATTTCGGTACATCCAGAATTATCTCGTTGGGAAGACACTGTTGTTTACCTACTAATTGTCCTATCTCTGTAAATCTGGATGCAAAAGGATGTACCCTGGGAAAATGATGACTGTTTCATTTATAGGACAGGTGGGAGGTACCTTATTCTAAGTCTTTGGCTGCAAATATAGGAATCTTTTTTAGGTGTCTTTTCTATTTGATGGAATCACATAGAACTTTCTAGAGTGTTTAGAGTTTTATTTGCAGCATAGTCAAAATGTATTAACTGCTGTAACTTGGAAAGCACTAACCCAAAGATGTTTTCGATATCAGCAAGTGGCAATTTGTAAGTTCTAGAGAAAACAGGAAACTCCATTTTAAGAAGAATTATCCTAAGTATCTGTCTTTGAGGTTGAGGAGATAGTTGCTTAATGGGGGAGAGCTCAGCTCGCTGGAGGAAGCTCTTCCTTGGATATGTTTTCCTCCTCAGATAACATTGCTTTGTGTTTGTGATGCACCTTTTAGTATGACTATTGGCCAATTTAGTTCGTCTCTTCTTGCCTTGTGAAAGTACCCCCAGTGATAGTTTTCTATTTAATATTGATCAAAGCTGACATTAAGGTAGGAGAAATTTGTTTTCATTTAGAAAGTCACTGTTAGGTCACCTAGAAGTCTTATTTTAGTGAATTCTAGTTCTCAGCCTAAAAGGAATGTTCTGGCATATCTGCTTGAAGTTTTGGCTTTTGTTTGGAAAAATGATAGTACCAGGGACCCCTTTCTCCCTTTAATTTGAAATTTTAATTTTGAGCATTTGCTAAAGTAGCAAAGCAAACTGCCACTGCCTAAGAGCCAAATCCCTCCTCTGTTTATTTTATAAATAAAGTTTTATTGCAACACAGCCATATCCATTCATCTACATTGTGCCTGTGGCTGCTTTCATATTTTGGAGATAGCTAGAGCATTTCAGTGTAGGCTGTGTGGCCAGAAAAGCCTAAACTACTTGCTGTTTGACCTTTTATAGAATCAGCTTGCCGGCTCCTGATTTAAATAGAGTATACTTAACATTGGGGACGGGACTGGAGAGAGAGGGCTCAGTAGTTAAGAGCACTTGCTCTTTTAGAGGACCTGAGATGATTTTCCAGCGACTTATCAGGTTCACAACCATCTCTAACTCTGGTTTTATGAGATCCAGTGATCTCTTTGGCCTCCAAGAGCATTGCATGTATATAGTATACAGACATACAAGCAGACAAGATATTCATACACATAAAATAAAAGTGAATCTTTTTTAATTAGAGTGAAAAATATGAACTCAATTTAGATTTAAATAGACAAAAGATCACAGCATATTTTTATAAAATATTGCCATGTTCTGTCCTTAAGAGTTTGTTGTTTGGCACCTCTTCAGTAGCCTGAGTTTAGCATTGACCAACCCATCATAAGCCTCACAGGCTCTTGACCCAACAATAGACCTTTGTTCAATGTGCATCTGAGGCAGTTGCTAAACAAAGGGACCTGGCAGGTAGACCAGCTGTTTCTAGTCTCTAGTTTTGGAATGTCTAAAAGGGATAAAAACGTCAGGTGCTACCTGGGCTCAGTGTTTTTCCACATAGTGGTAGCCAGTGATTTAACAGAAAATGAGTGAAGAAGGTGCTGATTGATCCTTTCCTTTTTTTTTTTTTTTTTTGGTTTTATGAGACAGGGTTTCTCTGTATTGTTTTGGAGGCTGTCAGTCCAGCCCAGCCTCGAACTCACAGAGATCCGCCTGCCTCTGCCTCCCGAGTGCTGGGATTAAAGGCGTGCGCCACCACTGCCCGGCTATAATTATTATTTTTGATAAAGCAAAACTATGAACTATTTTATATGTTAACATATTGGTTTTCTGAAAGATAGTATTGCCTAGTGAAGTAATATTTCCATTGCAGCAAAAAAACAAGGAGTCCATGCTTCTTATAGCTTTTTAAAACATATAGTACTTTATTAATTCTTTGAGAATTTTA